TTGAACTTGTTTTAAGATTGCAAGTTTGCACTCGAAGACTTCCATGCAATTTCGCGTCTTGAAAGTGCTGTCTCTTTTTCTAGGTTGCGTCAGTTCTGTGATTGGTCTGCTTCAGCTCCACTGCTCTCCAGTTTGCCCTTCATCTCAAAGGCTTCATTTTCTACACTGAAGGTATTTTTTTTTGTTTTTGTAAAGTCTATCCTGCTTTTAAAGGCTACTTTTCGTATTTATATTTTGTTACATTCCACTGTAAGTTGACATGCATTTGGCTGATCTATTCTTTTTACTTGTTTAACTTTCTCCATTCTCCTCCAAGTGACTAATTTATTTTCCACTCTTCCTCCCTCTTGCGATTTTATTTAGTTTTGAAATAACTTTTGTCCTTTCTGTTACAGTTGTGCTTCCTCGCTGCTTACATGCTGATTTTTCACCATGGCTGCTCAGGCTGCAGTAATTGGAAACAACCTTCAAATGAGGTGGGTACTAGGTTTGCTGTAGATGAAACAGTGCTTTTGATCAACCTTAAAATGTTTCCTTATATTTTCAAAATTTATCTTATAGCTTAATAAAGTACATGTCCTTCCATTAAGTTAATGTTTTTTTTTTTTCTAAATTGTATTTGTTTATAACCTTATGTTAATTTACTGTTTCTTTTGTTCTAGATGCTCTGCTTGCAACCTCTCCTTTCCTACTGCTGCTGTATTCTCTCTTCATTTCCGTCGAGTTATCCACAGTCATCCCATCTTCTGCGGGCAGAATCAAGATCAACATCCATGTGGCAGCAGCTTCTATGCGGTGAAATCTCTCATCCGCCACATCAGAGAAACTCACCATGCTCGAGTTCAAGCACCAGGCATGCAAGGAGAGCAAGGCCATCATGAAGCACCAGGCATGCATGGAGGGGAAGGCCATCATGAAGCTGGACACCATGAAGATGCAGGCAACAATGAAGAAAACATGATTCAGGATGGAGCTCATGGTGGTGATGCCGAAGAAGATCCACTTCTGCGTGTAGAAAATGTTGATCTGGGTAAATCTGCTGCAATGATGGTCCTCAATCTCAGGCAGAGTGCATTGACAACTGCAAGTATTGAGAGAATTCAGGATGAATGTTACAAAATGATGATCAACACAAGAAACTTGATAAAGGGAAAAGTGATAGATTTCTTGAGGGATGAAAACTTGATTCAACTTCCAAGTTCTAGAGACCTTATAAGAGAACTGGATCTTGCAAATCCATTCCTCCCAATCAAAACATTGAAACAACAACTTGCATATTTTGCCCGAGAAATGGGTCTTGTACTTCCAGTGCCACTATTTTTGGACTATCGACCGGACTCCAGATTGAATCCAGAAACCAATCAATATGAACCAACTCAGGTTGCTATGACTTTTGAGTATATTCCCATTATTGAAACCTTGAAATTGATATTATCTAATCGAAAGTTGAGAGAACTAATTGAATCAGAACATCCAAGTGAAGATGGTGTGCTGCGATCCTATTTGGATGGGAGTAGAGTTAAAATCAATGACTTGATCCGACTGTTCCCCAAGACAATTCGTCTCCAACTCAACTGGGATGACCTTGAAGTTGTGAATGCCCTTGGAAGCAAAACTACTATACATAAGCTAGCTGCCTTCTATTTTAGCATTCAAAACTTTCCTCAAATAGAGAATTCACAACTATCCTCTGTATATTTATTGGCATTGGCGTATTCAGAAGATATCAAGGAAATGAAGGGTTTCAACAAAGTCCTGGACCCTTTTCTCAGAGATTTGAAGAAATTAGAATCTGAAGAAGGAGTTGCCCTGAGGATTGGGGACGAGTTGCTACAAGTAAGAGCTACTCTTACCACTCTCTGTGCAGACACCTTGGCTGCCCACGATATTCTTGGATTCTTGTCCCCAGCTGCTCGGCATTTCTGTAGAGTCTGCACTGTGTCCAGGCAACAGCTACACGAAAACTGTAATGCCATGGGGGAGCCCAGAACACCTCAATCACATGCTGCTCATATTGAACAGGTGAAGGCAAGACCAGCATTTTCAACGGAGTGTGGAGTGAAAAGGGATTCCCCGTTAAGAAAAGCAAAGTACTTTTCTGTGACTGAAGATGCTCCTTTTGATATATTTCATGACTTGTTGGAGGGTGTGTCTCATTTGATAATCATTTTGGCTCTTTACACCTTTGTTGTGAGAGATAAGTTTTTTACTATGAAGCAATTTAATGCACGAGTGAGTGCATTCAACTATGGAGTACCTGACAAGAAAAACAAGCCATCTGTTAATCTCACTGAAGAACAATTGAAGAAGAAAACACTTCGGAAGTTAAATCAGAATGGCATTCAGATGTGGTGCCTTGTGCGAGTTTTTGGCTTATTAGTTCCAGAAGTTCCAGAGAATCATCCTCATCTTCGACTGATAAATTTGCATCAAGAAATTGTGCTGACTTTATTCTCCAGAGAACTTCTGCCTCTACACAAAGACAAGGTGGATGATCTTATCACCGAACACCACACCCTTTTCCAAGCCTTGTGTGCAAATGTTCAAGAAATTGATGAAGTGGAGGAACCTGATGATCCAGAACCTGAAGAAGAGCCCGCTGAAGGTCTTATCCTCAGACCTGCTGCAAGACGCATCAAGGCTATTAATAAACTCCACCACATGAAACATTTGAAAGAACAGATTGAAAAATTTGGACCGTTAATTTTGTACTGGTGTGCCAGGTATGAGGGACGGCACCACATTTTTTGTAAGTTTGCTGCAATTTGTTGCAACTTTATCAATCTTCCCAAGACAATGGCTCAGATGCACCAGATCAGCACACTCTGCGGTGTTTTGAATGACAGTTTACGTTCTCAAGAAATAGAGCTGCATTCGTCAACAGAGCTCACAGTTCAGGATTGTGAACATTCTGATCTTCTCTTGGCCAAGGGTCTCGAGGGAGACTCTGTGATCTTGAGTGTCGGGTCTGTTGTTGTTGCTGGGGAAGACTTCCGTCCTGGACTGTTTGTAATTGCAGACACTTCTCCCTGCTTTGCTCTCATACAGAAAGTTTATGTACAAGATGATCAAGTATACTTTGTCGTCCTGAAGTGGAAAACCGAAGAATTTGTGAGAAGATACTGTGCATATAGTGTTAAACCAAATCCTTGTTCTCAGGCTATGCTACTGGACCACAAATCTTTGGCCAAACATGGCTCTTATGCTCCCTGGAACCCATTCAACCAAAGAGCTGTGTTCATTTCCCCTAGGTTTTTAATTTTCTAAGTCTCTCTCACTGCTGTTATTTCTGCTTTTATTAATTATTTAAGTTATGTGATCTTGTATACCTTTCCTCCAGGAATTGTTCTTGTGAATTTGCTGTTACTCTTTTAAGTTACTACAACAGCATGTCCTATTTCTGTTATTTGACTCATCCAACCAAATTGTTGCATTCCCCAATGTTCTAAATACAAGTTGTTATGTGTGGTGTTTGGAGTTGGTATATTTTATAACAGAATAAAGATTCCAGTTTAACTTTTTAACAAGCTTCTTTTTAATACTGCCATATTTTTAATACAATTTCTTTTTTCAATCTTTGGTCAGTTTTAAGGATGTGTTAAGTTGAGTAATAGAAGCACAGAAATAATGATTTCAATGAAAACAGTTTTGCAGTACATAAATGATTGAAAGTTACACAGAGAGAAAAAATTTCATAGTACATATACATAAGTTATTACAAGTATACAGAAGCATGTAAGCTTCTGATTGATTACAAGAAAAATTTCATTCAACATAAACTAGTAAAACAATACAGAAGCTTGTAAGATTTAGCTTTCAATTTTTGTGATTAAATCTTTCATTGAATTGGTGAGCTTCTGGGGATCGATTTTGTAAAAGCCCCATTCTAGAAAACAAAGGAAACGAGACCATCCTGCTGGATAATTAACATTAAAAACATGGTAAATTTTGAAAATAATATCAAGACCCTTAACAAAAGATGAAGTTTTGATCTCCACAGTCTTGTTGTCTACAACAGCGAACATTTTTGAAATTGATCTATCAGGTATTAGACATATTAAGTATGGCTGAACTGGGCCCTGAGATGTTCGTCTTCTCTCCTCTATAGCTTCCCTTACATTTACACCAGACTGCAAAATAAAAGAGAACAATGAGAGTTGGTTCCAGTGAAAGAGAAGAAATTAACCTTCAACTAACTCACAGGAATAATGTGGACCAAATCTTGAAGGTCTAATTTTCCTCGTTTCCCTTTTCCAAATCGCTTTAAATTTTGCCATGGCATTTTTTCAGCCAGCCAAAGACATCCTTGCAAAACATCTAAAAAGAATGGAATGTAAGTAGGCAGGTTGCTCCTTTCAATAGAATTAAAATAAAACAAACCCACGCTACAATGCTTTTGGCTGAAGAGCCTTACCGTCACTTAAGTTTTCTGGCAAAGATGGCAGTGTTTCCTGGCTCTTAAGCTTAGAGATGAAAGGTGGAAAGCTTTGAAGAAGAGCCAAGTGATTTATTTTTGGGTAGAGTAATTTAAATTCTTCTTCAATCTGAAATTAAATGTACATGATTACATTAGTTTTGGAAAATTCATCCAATACTTTTAACATTGTGATAAAGAACTCACAAGCTCTCCATTGTAAGAAACTAAGTGTGGGAATTTTTCCAAAACATCATGAATTGTTGGTCCATCTGATAAAATCCAGGATTTTCTCGCTGGGAAACTTTGGTTCATTCCCAATAAAATTTGTTTGTGTTCCCCTGCACTAGGCACAAGGAGGCCCAACCAAGAAAACTAAAATTGGAATTAGGAGAAAGAAAAACATTTTAAAATTAAAATAAATTATGGGTACAAAATAGTAATGGTCTTGCTGTGACTTACATCATCAATTGATTGAGCAGATGACGAGGAACCAGCATTCTCTCCCTGTGCAGTATCCCCGCTGCCACTTGTAGAGGGGACTACATTTCTAGGTGGCTTGTCTTCATCATCCTGTTTCCGCTGGAGATGGGATATCACATTTGGAATTCTGCCTCTGTTCATCTTTCTGTCATAAACCCGCCACTGCAGAGGAAAAGGAACAGTACTCAAGAATGGCCTTTGAATTGTAATCAAAAACATGATAACAGCAAAGAGGAGCAATTGGGGTAAGTACTCACCCACGTCCACTTTGTGGGATCTGAATCATCTTTGAGAAAAGGGCACCGCAAGATAAGGGAGGCAGCCAGGCCTTCCTTTTGTTGTGCAGTTGTGTCCCGTTTGTAGTTTCTGAAAATAAAACATTACCAAATTTAAAATGATTGTTATTACAAAGGGTTCAATAATCTCACTTAAAATATAAAAATTACCCCTCCTTGTCACAAAACAACTTCAGCACTAAAGTTCTCACTAATAATTTCAAGTTTACAGAGCTCAAAGGGCCATCCTTATTTAGTTCATCCTGTAAACCCCTCATTTGCTTGTTCCCTTTCAATTTCGAAATTATGTCATCAATATCAAACTGCAAAAAGGGAGAAGAAAATGTTAGGCTTCAATTATTATATTAATCTTTCAAGCACAATCATAGTTCTTACAGATGGTAGCGTTGGAATATAATCTATTTCTGCCATCTTTAGTGGTTTAGCCTTTGGCTTCTCTATCTGATCGATGCCTTGATCTACTTGATCATCATCACAGATGTCTTCCTCAGATTCCTAAAAATGTCATTGAGTATTACAAAACAAAACACGCAAAAGTCCGTTCAATCTACAAAATAAAATGTTTATATTTACATCAACAGTAGTTGTCGTGTTCAGCTGGGGTCTGAGAACACGAGCAAAGGAAGGATCTGGTCCCGTTGAAAACCTCGAAAAAGAAAATCCTGCTGAAGGGTCTTTCTGTGTTCTGAGAATAATTGGACCTGATCTTGAACCATCAGATGATGTTCCTGGTGAAGATTGGGTACTAGAACTGGCCATTAGTTCTGCCAGACTTCTGCTGGTTTTTGTCTGCAAGGAATTATGAATTATTTTTTTTGAAAAGGGCAGATTAAAAGAGAAAAGTTAGACTTTGTCTTTGCCAACAAAGAGCATGGAACTTACGGTGATTGTTTTCAGTTTCTTAGGTTTCATAAACTCAGGCATAGCAACTGATTCCACGTTCCAAGATGGAGCTAAAATTAAGAATTTCATGTGTTTTAGGACCAAGCTAACTGCATGTGTATGAAAAAAAGCTGATTGACACAGACCTTTCTCACACATTGAATCATATTTGCGCTTCAAATTCAAATGAACATCCTTGTCATAATCACTCATCTCATTAAACTCTTCAACAGTAAAATATTGCTCTATTTCAGCAAACTTATCATCTATCTCCGGTAGCATTTCCTGAAAAAGTGAATTGGTAAGTTTTCTATAGGGTGGTACACTAGATAGACTCGAGTGTTACAAGTTCTCAGTCTATACAGAAAATATCCAAAATTAGACGCGAACAAACAAATACTTTATGACACAAAGTGTAGTTGGAATACTTACAGACATGGAATCCCTTTGTTTATTTGCTCCTGGGGAATCTGAAGGAATGTTATCCTAAGGACAGAGAATACAATCAAATTCAGAAGTCAACAAACAAAATATCATACCACACAAAGCAAGGTTGGGATACTCACATTAACTGAATCTCTTAAGGTGCCTTTGGAAAGGAGGTCATCATTCTACACAAAAAGAGATGTCAAAATTAGAATATTAACTGGTATAAATGATAAAGAATGATGGAAGAAAACTACTAACAATTGTTTCAGCCAATCCTTTCAGGTCCATACCAACCCCATAGGAAATGCCGAGATGGGAAAAGTCAATGGTTTCAAGCTTCAAGAACCTTTTTCCATTAATCTTTTGAGCTGAAATCATCAAGACGATCCATAAAATCAGCAAACAAAGGCGGGGTGGGCAGTGGCCTGGGACGCACCCAGGCACCCGCGCTTTGGAAACGAAACTTGGGAGTTAAGTTGTTACCTTGCAAAACCTTGAGTGCGGATTTGAAATCATCATCAAAATCTACGATCTCCGAACACTTTCCGTACTCTTCAAGAGCCTGGACCAGCTGAGCAGCACTAAGTACCTCCATCGTACTTTCTCTCTAAATGAGTTGCGCCGTTTGCACAAAACCGCGGTTACACATGGCGCCAATACGAGAAACAAAAGACGATCACAAATTCTGACCGACTCTGACCACCCATCGACGGTTTATCCTTCTTTTCCCCACCTCTTCAAAAAAAAAAAGTTTACATTTTTTGAAACAGTGAAATAATATTACAATCTGTTACGAATGTATCTTTTCCCCTTGACAGATGTCTGGGTCTATGACAAAACTTTAAACTTCGCTGTGAAAAGGCGCGGAATTTGAAAGGGGACAAAATGCAAAAGTGCAAACCATGATTTAACAATTTTATACGCACATACATATGGATCATATCGTTAAAAGATATCTTTTTTATTGTGTAGCGTTCAAAGTTTTTATAAACATCTGGCGGAAAATTGTGCTTATTTTAAAAATGACTCTTTACAGCTTCCAGTGAACAACTTAACAGGTGGGACAACCCTTGCACACCTGTTGCTTTTGTATTCGTGCCATTTGGATTTGGCTAGAAAACCTAAAATAAGTACATTTAAAATGCTGAAATGTAGGGAAAAGTGTCACTACTCTTCTCCCTCGCCCAGAAAAGGCATGTTCCAGGTTTCAATTGTTCTTTGGCGTTTCGGGGTTGGCACAGCTTTCCTTTCACTTTCACTTGTTGAAAGCTTTTGTGCATAACAAAAACATTGGTGCTATGTTTTGCCGAGCAGACTGCAGACTCTAATTTTGTCGAAATGAAACAATCAGTGAGCAGAAAAACTCCAGGAAAGATTCAGATAAGAGAAAATATTGCTGGCCACGATACACCCATTAACGAGTGATGAGCCACCGATTCGATAGCCAAAGAGAGCTGAAACTAATTTCGCTTTTTGTCATTTTCAAAAGAAAAACAAGTTTACAACTGTTGACTGCGATTTTACTTCAATTGCTAGGTATCGGTCCCAAAGTTGAATGTTCCGAATCAGTGAACTTGGCTGTCAATGAGTTTTCGTTTAGGGAAAGAAGCAATTTATGTGAAACATCCAAAGTTAGGTTAGTTTCAACACCTAAGTCATTTGTGAGTGCTCACAAACTATACATACTGCCCTCTCCAATTCATCTGTCCTTTTTTATGTTACAGATCAAAGAAACTGAATGTGTTGGCCAATATCTCAAACAAATTGTTACTGTTTTAAACAATTGAATAAGATGTTAGTCCAGTTAGGTAGATCAATTCGACTAGCTGTTGAACGTAGCTGTGCAATTCTCAATCAACCAGCGTGTCTCTTCTGGGATTAAAAGGTAACGACATAGGTTTACAGTTACTCAGTATCTTGTTGCTTGATGTCTTTTAACGTTATTTCTTTTGTTTCAGCACTGTAATGTTTTCATTTTTATTTAAAGAAGATTTTGTTGCAAAAGAACACAGCACTGTTAGTGGTCTGGTACAAGAAATGATGAAAACAGGATGTTATGCTCAATCTTTTAGGTACCAAATTTGATCATTATTCTTTTATTATTGAAAGCTCCATTCTGCAACCCTCTTGCAGAGCTTTTCCATAGCAGAAGCATGATAAAGTCTTGCTTCATCATATCATTCCAAGCTTTTACCTTTATTTAAATTTGAATAGTAAACTGAGTGAACTCAACCAGCGTGGCTCCTCAAATTAGGTATGATAAAGTACTTGGTTTCTTTCAATACATCTCATAATAGTTTTGAACTTTCATCTTATGACGTTTCCTTGTTTACAGTTCAATTTAGTTTGTGTAAAAGAGCCTAGAGATTACAAGAGCTTGCCCTCATATCGGAAGGAGGCAGACATTTTTGAGCTTTTATCAGAATGTCTAAAGCAGGACCTGTCTTTCAAGGTAATGTGTTCTTCTCTGTAAAATAGATCTTATATTTTACATTTAAATAACTGGCTTGTGTTTGAGTGTGTGTGTCTGTGTTTGTTAATCTCTTTTTTTTGTTTGCAGATTACTATACTCAGGAGAGCTCCTATTGCGACCACATTGTGAAATAGACAGTGAAGTGGGAACGGGTGTAGCCATGCAGTGCTGAGGAGTCACATTCTCTTTATTAGAACCACTTGAGCATCTTCTAGTAAAGGTTTGTCAAAAATATCAAATCATACATTTTTTTCAATGTCCAATTAAAAGTTTAACCTGACATCTATTGTATCTCACACAGATTTAAGTCAAATGCATGCTCAAAGGGCTTCCTTACTAGAAATTGTGCAGAGAAGCACACAAAGTAAAAAGCAACGCGAAGCATTTCAGAGAGTCAGCGAAGCAGTTGCAGTTGGAGGTGAAGTAGAGGGATGCAAGCAGCATGAACACAGCAGATCACTCCAGAACAGACACCGTCAGCACCAGCAGCTGAAACAATTGCCCAGGTATGTTTGTCACTAAATAATAAAATTCTTGCTTTTAACATGCTGTTAAATTGGTCTTGAGTATATTTTGGAATAGAATTGTATTTTAAAACTAAAAATCTCTTTGATTGCAGACGTTTCATGTGGTGTGTTGGTGGTCAAGTGCTCAACAATGAAATTGAAGGAAAATTGGGTTGTATTGTGCGTCAACATTCCCTATGAAGTGCATTGAACAAGCAACTATAATCGAGGGCATTATGGAAACATCTCACAGAACTTTCCTGTGGCAGAAACATGATGAAGTGTTGCTGCACCATATAATTCCAAAATTTAAATCTGAAGTGGAAAGTGAGTGAATCCGACCAGCATGGCTCCTCAAATTCGGTATGATGAAGTGCTTGGTTTCTTTCAATACATCTCATAATAACTTTGAGCTTTCAACTTGTGACTTTTACTTGTTTTCAGTTCAATGTAGTTTGTGGAAAAGAGTTCAGTCTTTAAAGAGCTTGTCCTCATATCGGAAGGAGGCAAACATTTTTGAGCTTTCATCAAAATGTTTAAGGCAGGACCTATCTTTCAAGG